CCATCTTCAGGCTATTTTTTACCTCCCAGGATATACCGGAAGATAGGATAAATGCTTCATCTCACATACACTTGACATTGTTCACTCACACTGGTTTACCTGTAGCAGTTTATTTTGAGAAGAATATGTAATGCTTAAGATTACCTCCAACATGCATTTCAGAAAAAATACTTCTGTAGAGAAGAAGCTGGTAGTCAAATTCTGTCAGAAATACAAGAGATTCTTTAAGTAGAATTTTAGATGGCCTGTGAGGCATTCATCATGTTCCACTGTCTGTGAGTTTGGGTAGGGTATCCTTGATATTTGAAAATATTTTGATGTTGTTATTGCTGCCAGTATGTGTGATCTCTTTAGATCTGCAGCTGCTATAACCATTTTTTCCATATATTCTTGCAGTGACCCAGAAAGATTATTGTGAAAGAACAGATGAATATGTTGTACATGGGTGAACACAGCTTTCTATAGCTATATATTTTATACACTTCAGATAACAGTCAAGTGTTCTTTTGCCCATCAGGTTCCCACAAGCTCTTGTAATCACTCCTGTTTTGGCCCACTACAGTGTTTTTTAAATGAACTTTTACAAGCTGCAGAATTTCAAAGAAGCTTATGCTGCTCACTACCTAGGGAAAGAATCTAAGCTTTACCACAGAGGATTGCAGTTTGATAGGAGAAAATAGATGACCTTTCCCTCCTCTCCCCTGATGGGCCATGCTGTAATGTTTTTGATACAGATGCACACCTGTGACACAGATCCCTGCTGTTGTACTGTGCAATGTGAATGTTTTACAGGCTACAGTTAGTACGTATGTCTAACTATTCTTCATCAAAATGTTTCTATTACACACCTGTTTTTGTAGAACTGAATGTAAATGGTCTTCTCCTGGATGACTCATGACAGTACAAGAGGAAGTGGCCTCAAGTTGTGCCAGGGAGGTTCAGGTTGGATGTTTGGAAGGATTTTCTCTCAAAAAGAGTGGTGAGGTATTGAAACAGGCTGCCAGGGAAGTGATGGAGTTGTTATCCCTGGAGATGTTTCAGAAGAGAGTAGATGTAGTACTTAAGGACACAGTTTAGTAGGCAATATTGGTGCTAGGTGAGTGGTTGGATTAGATGGACTTGGAGGGCTTTTCCAATCTTAATAATACTATGATAACAAAACTTTGTGCGATTGTCATCTAGAAAAAATACATAGGTTGCTCTGAAAGAAATGCCACCTATTTATTTCCATGGAAACTTCTGCAGATACTTATACTGTTTGGCCTCCATAAGTGTTCAGCAAGCATCAGGGAATGTCAATGGGTGCAATTTTTGTTCCATGCAGGGGAATTCAGCTGTGCTTATTCTGTTGTAGGTACCAGGGGAATAAATAGGAAGTGCTAATTTTAGAGCAGCCTGCATGGATAGGTATGTCCCTATTACTTTTGGGAATTTACAATGCTTTCTTAGCACAGATGATATTGAACTGTTGTCTGAAGTTCATTCAAATAGGGACAACTACTGAAAATGGTATTTCAGTTTCTCATGTTGTGCCAGCTATAATGCCTGTGCCAGCTAAATTCAGGAGCTGATTTGGTTGGAAGCTAGCAGTGCTCCCTACTAATTCTTTGATTGGGTCTTTTGGTCTGAGAGCGTAAATGAAAGCATAAACTGTTCTGGTATGTCACAATGTGCTTCATTGTAAGGGGTGAAAGTAGACAATTTTGAGAATCCTGAGGCAATCCCAGTTTCTTTTCACTGCCTCCCTGCTTAAACAGCCATTAATGTTTGACATCAGCTAGGGCTATTTCAATTTGTGAATCTTGCAGAGAATTTGTTCAGAAAAGAAAAAGTCAGTGTTTGTCCAGGAGTGATAATTAGAATCTTCTCAGTGTGCAGCCACATAGGTGCCAGGAGATGTAGGATTGTGCAGCCCTGGTGGATGTCCCAGGACTATCCATTGACGCAGTGTGATAAACTACTAGATTATCTCAACTGCGTTACTGCCTTATTTTTCATCCTGCAAGATGTTTCTCTGGCTGCTCCATATTCAAAGCCTAAAAAGCTTTGCATACTGTAAATTTTGTTCCTTTACTTTTTGCAGTGTGTTTTATTTCTTTGCTGTTTTTAAAATGCAAGTTGAGGATGGTAAAATGATAGCATTCTCCTAAAATACTTCAATGTTATTACTTATATGCATTTTAAAAAATGTGCTCTGAAAAATGCACTGAAAATCTGAAAAGATACTGGTATTAAAGAGCTGATGATAAGTATGTATTACGACATAAACTTAGTATCATTCCATTAGATATGTGATATTAGTGATATAGATTTATGATGGAAGAAAGAGGGAATTGATTTGAGATCTGAATAGATCAAATATTCTGCTATAGCTGAAAGTACGATTTTCTTTGAATGTGTGTCCTCGTGGGAAAGAGTCTGATGGATGAAAGACAAGTCTAGACTAATGTTTTTCTGCCTTCAGACACCTTCCAAGAAAATCATTTCTTCTAACATGGTATTTTATTTTGAAGTAACTTTCTTTTCTTTGAGCCATTTGTTTATTGCTTATTAAAAGGCAATCTATTTAAAAGCTTGAAATGCGATCCATCTTCATCAGTAAGCTTTTTCCTGTGACTCTGCCAGCATCATTAAGCTACATTAACATTATTCTGCTTAGAACAAGTTTCCAGAACAACTGAAAATGGATGCACAAGAGATTTTGGTTAGTGCAAGTAGTCTGTGAATGTCTCTAAATTACTCTATTGTATCTGAAAAAGCTTGTTTTTGCTTGTGGCTTATATCTTTCTGTAAGCTTGCATGTAGTTGTTGGGATGTTGTGTTGTTATGTCCATGCTGTTAAACAAAAGCCTATGTCAGGACTGCTCCTGGTAGGACAATCAGTAATTGCAAGAACCATGTGAATTGCCTGCTGCCATCCCTTGTATCTGTGATAATTCCTGATGATGCAGACAGTAAGAGCCCATTTACTGTGCAGCTGGAGGTAGGAGCAGTGCATTAGAAGCCTGGTTTGAGAAACAGGGATGGCAGTACAGAATTTGTCCTTAAGTGACTGAGTATTCCCCTAATATCCTTTTTTTTTTTTCATCTTGGTTACAGAGGAGTGCAAAATACAGAGAAACTGAGTAGGGTACTTTTCATGGATTCTATAGGGGAGAAAAGTGAAGGGGCAGTATTGTAAGGACAGAGGAAGGTGACTATGGAAAGGTGGTGAGACGCTAGAAGCTTCACCCTGTTCTCTAGTTGAGGCTTATATATGAAGTGAAGGAAGAGGGTTAAAGAGTGTAGGTGGAGACACAAATATATCTGCTTGTGTATGTACAAGATTTTGGAAGAGGACCCTTGCATTCAGACTCCTGCTTTTGTATTGTAAGTCCAACTATTTCCACTTTGCATTGCTCCAAATCCAGTAGAGAAATAGCCATCTATTTTTCTCTGTTCTATCAAAAGAAGACTGAGAAGGATTACATTAATACCCATGTCACATTTTTCTAGAGGGTCAAAATTCTAGTGCCCTATACTGTTTTCATGCTGCCTGTATTTTGCCAGATTTCTATCTAATAGAATTTAGAAGAAGCTGCAATCTTTCACATGCTGTGTGTTTTCACACATTGTGGCCTGTAGCAACTGGAGGCATTTAGAATAAGGTTAGTATCAGTTTATTTTCTATTTTTAGTTTATTTCTATTTTTGTTAAGTTGGGGAAAAAAATCCAGTAATATTTTAGTCAGAAATCAGGCTTTTCTTTTTTAAAAAACATATTCTTTACCATTTTGAGAGAGAGCTGCGCTACCAACTATCAGTGCTGGACACCTCACCAGAGCAAGTTAAATCCTTGTGCTGAAGTATGCTGAGCATGACATCAGAATGGACAGGAATCTGTGAAACCAAATTTGAATCAATTTGAACCAGGCAATTTTTGACAGTATCCCCAATAACATACAGGATATGTAGAGTTTTGAGTTAATACCATTTAGTTCAGATTGCAACTTCATTTTAAAGTTAGTTTATTAGGTGTCTTTTCCAATAATTCTTCGTGGCCTACAGCTGCTTTTTTATTTCTGCCATGTTAGTTCTTCCTTCTGTTGGCTGTGAACACTTAGTATTCCTCTTTCTCATGCCAATGTACTGAGTAAATCATTTTTTTTTCTACTTGAAAAGAATATGCTTTAAACCTTTCGAATTAATAGTGTAAGGAAGCTTACCTGTATGAGTGTTTGAAGTGGAGCAGTATGAACTGTATTTAGTATCTTGGTTCAGTGATGTACAATAATTAGAGAAGCACCATTGGCACTTCTGATTATTGTGTTGTGCTTTCAGCGATCTTACGAGTCTCATTAATTCATGACAATGCGTGGCGAGAGTTGCTGGATGTTCTTCTATTTTGCTCAGTCTGATCAGGATCCTGGGAAAACAAGCATGTTGTCAGGCTCAGAAAAAAAACAAAATGGCAACTGAATTTGAATCTCAATCTTTGTTGCTTATGAGGCTTCTGATCTACTGATTAATCTACAGATGTTTTCCGAGTTAGTTTAGTGTGGTACATGTCTGCCTACCTTGTATTTAAAGGGAGAATTTTACTTATAAACTACCCTCAGTGCCTTTTACACATTTCAAAGCTTTTTAGCAGAATAAAGTTGTCAAAACCTGTATTCCAAGAACAACCTTGTTTGTGTAGCCTCTGCTTCCTTGAATTACTGCCTTGAAATGATTTAGTTTGTACTAAGCAGTTGTCATCTACTTGAGCTTGTTCTGAAGCAGCTGTAAAATGTATCCTACCTCCACCTCCATTTTCTTATGTGAATTCTGTTGAACCAGTGGGAAGAATTAACCCATGCAATGACTGACCCTTGGTGTTAGAAATTATTCCAGTGTGCCAGGGAGTCCTCCAGTAAATTTAAAAAAGAATATAGAATAAAAATAATGAAGAGCTACTGATTAACCAGGACACAATTGAAAACTTAATGTCTATTTAATGGAGAACGCTTAATATTTTGGTAGGTTAGACGAGTGCCTGGTTCCAGTGGTCACCTCCACAAAACAGAAGATGGAGACTGGGAATGGAGTGATGATGAAATGGATGAAAAGAGTGAAGAAGGCAAAGCTGCTGTTTCTCAGGAGAAGGTAACTTTTATTTGTGTCAAGACAGGTAGTTTGCAAGATGTTCTGTCTTAATTGTTAGTATTTCTGAATCTTTAATTCTTCACCTCATTTGTTTTCTAGTCACGAAGAGTTAAAGAAGAGAACACAGAGGTAAAAATGCATCTTCCAGGTTTTTTTCTTTTGAGTGAAGGGATTTCTCTTTCAATTTCTCTCATTAAAAATGTAAATTGAAGGGAGAGTGTTAGTTTGTTTCTGCAGCCTTGTATGGCAAGTACTGATGAAGACAGAGCTCCGTGCAGCTGGGCCTGTAGAAATTAATTTGAGTACACATTGAATAAAATAGATAGGAAATTCAAAGTGATGTTATTTTCCTGCCCAAAGAACTGGTTAAGATAAGTAATTTGTCCGTTTTTAATGAATCTTCTCAACTGGATCACACTAATTGCTGCCTTTTTTCAGAGTGATAATAGCTCTTCTGGAGTAGCTGAAAGATCTCCAAATAATATTTCATTGTCAGGACACATATCACAGTGTCTAGCTTGTAATTAAAACTCTTAATGCCATATGAAGTAAAATAGATCAGTACAATGGCATAGTGGATTAATTCAGAGTAGTAAAATTCCATGCTGAGAGCATAGGAAGCATCAATGCTGTAAATAATGGCTTAAGTTGATTGGCTTTCAGCAAAAGTTTTTTTCTATCTAAAAATGCCTGTTCCATGGGTGGGTGATGCTTGCCAGTTCACCTGCATTTTTTTTTTTTTTATTTTATTATTTTTTTTTTTTTTTGGAGGATCTGATTTTCATTGGTGTCACAGAAATCTGCACAAAGAGTAATGGTTTCCTGCTAGATTTGGTTCTGTTACCTCCTATGATGTGCCTTATGTGCTTCAGCACCTGTACAAGTTGCCAGTCAGGGCTGAGATGTCTTGGGGCCCTGCTCTGTTCCTCATGCTTCTGTTTTTTTCATAAAGCTTGGGGATTCCACGCTAGAATTTCCTCTGTGATTTCAAATCAATCTGTACTGGACAGAGTAACAGTGTGAGGTAGGAGTGATGGTGTGAAAGATGCGTATGATTTTTCAGTGGAAGACATTCCCCAAGCTGTGAAACCTGCTTTGTTACACTGCTAGTTCTTAGCAGATGGGTAGATGTAAGACTTGATTATGATCCAAAATAGTTATACAGAAATAATGGGTATAGTAGCTTGTTACTCTGTGTGCGTGTTATTTAAAAGGTTACTGGAGTTTTGATACAAGGTGGATTAAAAGCTCTTCTGATCAGTTCTTTAATATGGGCCTTGTCATTTATATCTCTGTAATTTAAATCCAGGAGTTTACTGCTATCAACTATATTTTAGACTGTTACTGAAAGTGTTTAAAAGGTTTTTGAGAGTTAGGGGATGTGTGAAATATTCTCACGTTGGACTGTTAGTATGGCAAGTATTTCAGGATTTTTTTTCTTTGGCACCCATAATAATGCTTTTGGGTTTTTTTCTTTAATAGTCTCAGCCTGCTATTAGTGATGAATATAGTGAAGTACCATGTGCAGTGAATCTTGTCTTGAGATTAAGGTAAGAGATGCTTCTATTTATTTTAACATTTCTTGTAAGGTGACTTTATTATTCTTGATTTCCTTCATTACTTTCATAATATTAACATAAAATAAGTGTTAACCTCTTTAATCTCCCGGTATGGCCAATATGAATAGTATTTCTGTGACTAATTGCTAATTGAAATAGAGTAAAATGAAAAGTAGAATATGAACGTGGCTTCAGGCTAAATGTACCCTTCATTAAGTATTTTCTTTCTTTTTTCCTTTTGCAATGCAGGATCACAGTGAGAGATTTTTAATGAGTTTCTTTCACACTTCAGCAGTCAGTCTCTGACAGAAATAAACCATAGCTGTATTACAAGTTGCCTACTCAGAAGTTTTTCACTGGCAAGTTTGATCAGCCACTCCAGAGAAATGATGGATATTTTAGAAAATGGATACAAAAATGTTGTCTGACTTAAATTTATACGTTGTCAAAATAAGGCACCTTTTGTCAAAATCCATTTAAAGCTGGGAGCTGGTAATGCTTAATTATGCAGTTTAATCCTTGTGTAAGAAGTATATTTGTCTTGAAAAACTTGATGGCTCTTTCTACATTTATAGCTATGTTCCTTCAATGGCTAATTTGGTTAAAAAAACTTATTGCCACTTCTTTAAAATTCATTTTTGTCCTCCTTGTGTTGACAAGAAACAACAGTCTTTCACAGACATCCTAAACGCTTCTATGAGTGAAAGTAAATGTTATTTTTATGCTTACAAAAGGATAAAAAGACAAGTAGAGAAATATTTACAGAACTCTGGCCAGTATGTTAGCAGAAAATAGCAGATTATTGCACAGCAAGTGGCTTTAAAACAGTAACCTTAAGTACTGTTGATAATCACAAGAAATATCTGTAAAGAATGACTGCCAAGTTCTAAAATCTATTATCTCCCCCTTTTTTTTTTTTTTTTTAAACTACTTTTCTAGTGACAGCTGCAAAAAAATTGGCTGCCAAAGGTTGTTTACTGTAGGGAGTAGTAATAAATTTTATTGTAGGGAGAGAAAAGACTTCAAGATTACTTGGAATCGGTTTACTTGTCCCATTTACATAACAGCCCAGTTTATGCTATCAATATTCTTTTTCATCTTTCTGCTGAATACAGGTAGATGAAACTATTTACAAAACAGACCAATTTACACTACCACATGTGGAAGTAATAGTGAGATGCTTGGGTATTTTCAAACTATGCTGAAACCTGTAGAGTGATGAGCTTCTATCCTGTTACCTGCAGTGCTGGCATATCTAAAAGCCAAAAATTTTAGCACAGTCCAACGCCAGGGATTATGCTTTTTTTTTTTTTTCTGTAGCTCTTAAGCTACAGAAACTGGACTTTCCAAACACTTTATGTGCTAGGAACTGAAGAGTTTCCCTTAAACAAAATAATCATGAACAGGAGATGCCTTCTGGGGTCTGGGAGCACTCCTGGCTGTTTCTTGGAAAAAAAAGAAAATCTGATGCCTAATTTTGCAGAGTGAATTTTTGCTAGTATAAGCTGACCCATATTCTGGAGGATATGCTTTGCAATGCACGTTCCTGGCCCCATGAGAGCTCTGGCCGTGTCCTGCCTCAGTGGTAGGAGGTGGGTGAAATCCTACATCTTTGAGATTTTATATGAATTTCCTTCTGATGGAAACCTGAACGTATGAAAAGGATCAGAGTTGGTGTACAATGTGTGGGGGGAGGGTGGCAGTACATCCATTTAAAAGTTCTGCCTTATTTGGCCTTAAAGTAGGCACATTAATAGTGGGCCTGGCAGTAAGTGTTGCACCTAAGTAGAGAACTGAGAATGGGGGTAGGTATGTCAGCGGTGGGCTAACTTAGGAAATCATCTATGGAAAAAGTTCTAGGAAAACAGTGATTGTGGTAACAGAACGGTGGGCGTAGATTAGGATTCTTCTTCCCCAGCCCTAAGGAGTCCCAGTATTTGAATCTTACCACTTTGCTAATTAAAGGACAAAGGGGGGGTGGGGTTGAGGCTGGCATCCCAGTGATGTATTGACAAACTTGTATCACTCCAGTTAATGTAAGTGACAAGTTACGCAAACAGCGTTTTCAGAATACAGCAGGGTTTAGCACTGTTACTGCTTAAACTATAACTGTAAACTTTTCCACTAATTGAACTGTTGTTTGTTTTTTGTTATTGCAAGGGTAACAGGAGGCATTATTTCATTAAAAAATAAAAAAACTCTGGAAAATAAACTCTCTGTAATGTAAGATATAATCTGGAAGGCCCTCAGTCATGGTCAGTCAGTCCTGGATTAGCCTCTTTCTGCATTCCAGCTATCCTGATCCTACAGCTATTGCAGGGTGAATGAGCTTATGTTTATGGTAGTTGTATATGGAGAAAGATACTGCGGGCTCCTACATGGTGTTCTTTGTTATAGTTACTGAGCAACCCTTTTTTTGAGCATCTGAAAGTAAAATACTGCTAGTTTTGGCATTTGGTAGTTGATAAAATTCGGATTGCTGGCTTGCTTTTTGTCAAGCAGCATTCTCTCAGAATTGTAATGCAGTAAATAGCTAATATATTAACAGGGATTTCTGCATTTATCCATTTCCAGTGCAGACTTTAAACTGTTTTGTTGATGTATTTTGGTGAATTGATCATTAAGTCATATAGCTGATAGAGACTTGAGCACATCAGAGGACTTTTATGGGATTTGTTTCACAACTTACGGTTCATTTTAACATGTTATGAAACAAGTTAGCTACAGTATGTGGACAGAAACAATTTCCTGTGATGCTTCATCAACTACCATTATATAGCTTTTTAAGTATGGCTTGATATTCGGATAAACATTATGAACATTAGATCTGAAGACTCAAAACTTAGTGCATCATCCAAAATGTTGGAAGCTTTTTCTTTTAAAATTATTTGCTTGAGGCAATAAAGTTATATGAACTGCTGCAGCTTGATGAGTTCAGAACACTGGTTTAGTATGCTTTGAACTACGGCTTAAAAAAATAAGTACTGATATGGGTAAAAATGTAAATACCAGAAAAATACAAGACAAATGACTTGACTGATGGTGGAGGAGATGTGAGGAGGAAGGGGACTAAATGGTGAGAGAAGGTTCAAGAAGATTTCATCTCAACACTGCTTTCCTTTTGTTTCCCTAAAGACAAGGTAAGGTGACATCAGCAAAAAGTGAGCATCTTGAATATGAGTGAACTCCTCCTGTGTGATGAGGGCTGGCTGGGCTAGGATGTGAGGGACAGGGCATTTTTCCCAGGGTTCTTGGGCAAGAAAGGAATGGTGGGGAAGTAAACTGATGACACTTTAGTGTTGCTGACTCCTTTGGCATGGGTGCTATCTCAGTTGGAGAGAGTTTGTGATGGAATACAGTGTGACCATTTAGGGCTGTGTGGGAGAAGGAACTGCTCCTTTATTTTTCTCTTTGGAAAGATGAGGAGACATGAGGCCTAAAAAATCAAATGTTAGATAATGATGGAAAAAAATGATGTTCTAATGAAGGTTAATAACATATACAGAAATTAAAAATGACCTTCCCAAAGGAGGAAATCTGGCAGAAGAATCAGTGCACTTCAGTAATTCTTTTGCTGGATGATCAAGTTTTGACATTATTTCCAAAGCAGCAGAGTTAGACTGAAATAGTAATTGAGTAGGGAATGCCAAATTAGTACCACCAGCATCTCTTTAGTATAAATGTTGTGTTGTAGGTAAGAAGCACAGTCTGAATCCTGAGATAATTTTTAAAGAATCCCATAGTGCTGTTTGTAGGAGTGGTGGCATTTAATTCTGTTGTCTGGGTAATTTCCAACTTGAATATCTGATTTTTTTTTATTTATTTATTTATTTTTCTACCCGTAACTTATATTTAATACCTTTACAATTGGGAAGGTATTTGTTTCAGTGAGGCTAACTTAGAGAAATATTTTCCCTTGTCAGAGTTCTTGTGACATAGCTGAATTTCAGGCACACTGTGACCAAGTGATACCAGCTTCACTTGCATTTTCAGTTGGAGATGGCATTTTTTTCCAATTTATTTTCTATCTTTTCCAGTATTGTGTCTTGAAGTACTTTGCCCCAGAAATTAAATTAGCAGCAGTGTTTTAGGTAGTACAGAGCAAAGCTTGCGAAAAGCCTCCATCCTCACTAATTTAAGGGACTGTGCTTGAATTTTGTAATGAATTGAAGAAACAGGCTCTCAGTTTTTGTCTGATCTGTTGCCATGTATGTAACTATGACCTGATCTGTCTAAGCTATAGTTACATGTTGGTGCTTCTTTATCCTTTGCTTCACAGAGGAACAGGCATTCGGTGTTGGGGAGGAACAAAATCTGCAGTCCAGGTTCTCTCTTGTGAGGCTGCGTGTGTTCCATGTCATGTCTCTCATCAGAGGATCCTGGCAGGAGCTCTGTAAAGAGGCTGAAGACAATTCTCTTCTGTGACTGGGGAGACATGGTAGAAAGGAGATATCACCACCCTTGAAATTTCCAGTCTAACCACCTGGTTTGGGAAGGTCACTATCTGAGGATTTGACTATTTAGATTAATAACAAAGACATTTCATGTTAAATTAGGAGACTTGTTAATGGTTAATAGGTAAGAATTGCAAATTATCTGAAGCAATCTAAGATGGTTAAATTAGCTCCTTTTACAGGAAGATAATTTACTGACTGTAATTTAGAATGTCCAAGGACCTAATTTAATACAGCTCCTGCGCACCACATGAATTAAGCCAGAGGAAGAACAAAAGGGGCAAATAGAAATTTTTTTACTTTGAAGCACTGGCAAATGGGATAGTTGAGTTAAAATCTCATATCTTACTTAAAATAGTGTGCAGAGAAAATGCTAAGGCAGAATGTTAAGGCAGCCATTCTGATAGTTTCTGTTGTTTACAAATAAGTGTATTTTTAACAAAAATATTAACAAAGCTGATTTATTACACTGTGCAAATCTTTGCTTTCCTGCAACTTTTGTAGTATGTGTGTTTTTTATCAATTGTTGCCCGTCAG